CTTCTTCTCATCAATTAAACCACATAAGTCGTTCATCTTTGTGTTTAAATATAATTTAAGTTCATCAACCAAATATAAACCCCCCCTATTACCTATTTATTTCCATAAAAAGAGAAGTGTTCATTTCCCTGTGGATACGAACCTTACTTCAATATACTACGTATATTTGTTGTATTGATTATTATTTTGAGTGCATACACGACAAAGTGCACGTCACCAAGTCCTTTGTTCCCATCTCCAGCAGCGACTGACTATTAACCAATTCAAAAAGGCAATCAAGTTAACTTACTTGCACCATCTCACTTACAACATTAAAGCTTTCGGGTCCAACAAAGAATCCTGCCATTAAGTATCCAGGTATAACCTATCAAATTACCAACTATTAGATCCACTAAAGGTCAGGCATCTAACACCAAGATATAAGATGGTTATTTTAGATATATTGAGTGAACGTTAACAAACTGGTTGTCCAGCACAAGCAAAAGCAATTCCACCACAAGTTGCAGCAACGATGACCACGACTAGATCTGATATCAACCTATAAAGTACGCACAATGCAGCACATTTAGTTGTATTGACACGAGAATTGACAATTGCAGCAACATGCTACACCTGGTTTGAAACCAGTACCTTAAGAATTAAGTATAATTGCAGCACAGGATATTTTGACTTGAAATTGGAAATGATAAAGACATTTTCCTAAGTACACGAAGTACCTTGAGAAGCTTATGTGAGTTATTTTTGTGGTTTTATGAAGGAAAAGTTTTTAAAATATTATGCACATATTCCGCATATTTATAGTATTGCATTTATTCTCGATCCTCGTTATAGAATTGGTAATTTGGAAGAATGTTTGAAGTTCTATTATAATGCTTTTTTTGGTCCATTTCCAATGTATGATGATAACGCCATAGATCCGCAAGTTGAATACAACGAGGTTAGTAATTTATTTTATGCCTTATTTAATGAGTTTCGTGCACAATATGGCAATTTGCCCCTCCCCCGACACACACATCTTCATCTAAAGGAAACTCACTTTTTAAATATGCTTTTGGCAATCTTATGAAAAAACCTAAAAAAACTCACACTACTGAACAAACCGCACTTAATGAGATTTCTTTGTATATAAATTATGAAGTATAATTTGACGAAAATGAGGAGTTTGACGTTCTAAAGTGGTGGAAGTCAAAAGAAAGAATGTTCCCAATTTTGGCACGGATGGCTAAGCAAGTGCTATCAATGCCGGTTTCAACAGTTGCCGTGGAACAAGAATTTAGTTCGGCCGGCAACGTTCTAACGGCATCTAGAACAAGTTTGAGCGCTGAGTCTCTTGAGACGCTTATATGCTACCACGATTGGTTGAAGGCCATACGTAGATGTCAAGAAGTTAGCATCACCCCCTCCCAAGACTTTATGGATGAATCAACAACCGAGGGTGGCTCCTATGCCGGAGATTCCGATTGATTAGTATTTTACAGTTTATTATAAAATGTATTTCATGTTTTAATTTTTCCTTCAATTCTCTATTGTAATTTGTAAAGTTGTATTTCATATTTCAAATAAATATACATTCTTTTTTTTATATGTAGCACTTCTCAAATTAATTAATTAATTAATTAATTAATTGGTTACAAACTTACAACTTACAACTTAGAATTTATTGTATTAGTATTTTTTGAAAAATGTATTTCATATTTAAGTTGTATTAAAAAGATAAAAAAAATTAACCTAGGCCCGACCCGACCCGGCGGGTGGCCCGGCCCGGGACCCGGCGGGTGACCCGGCCCGAACCGGAACCGGGTGAAGGACGGGCCGGTTCCGGGCCTCCCTTTATAGGACCGGAGGCCCGGCCCAGGCCCGGCCCGAACCGAGTCCAGCCCTAATACCCTCTATACATATATGGATACTACCTCAAAGACACTTATGAAACTAACATAGGAACTGATGTGTCATGTCTACAAGTCATAGGCTCAGGTAAGTCCAAAGCGGGATCAGCGAATTATATGGCTTCTACGGAGGTGATTAATCCAGAGTATAGTCCTTGGGCGGACGGTAGACAGGAGACTTGTCATCACATAGTTACCTATTTTAGTTGGTTTTGCACGGTTTGTTTGGTTATGATAAGTTAAGCCAGTTATGTTAAAAAAAAGAGAGATTTCTAATTCCAAGTTTTAACCCATGTAAGTTTAATCGATCATTGACAAAAATAATTTATTCGTCATAATAGTCGGCGTAGATTATTTGCAAACGCAACTAATCTCATATTCACCTATTATACATAAAAGCGACAAACGCCGTCAATTAATCTAATTGATTCCCAATCTTACAACAAAAGTTTAAGATTCAAGGCTCAATCGCATTAATCTTTGTGAATTTTTAGCCAACACGAATAATATTTCCTAAACGGGTGATTATTCCATTTGTATCCATATTTTTCTAGATGGTTCGTATGCACCTAGTTGCTACTATAATGAACCCTAATTTCAACAAATCAGATTTCAACTAAGCAATTAACTCACAAGAATACTAAATAAGTATGCATCCAAATTACTCATCTCATGAAATTAATTCATACAAATATAGAATACTATGGCAAATAAATCATTCAACACAAAAATCTCGCGAATTAAACTACAGAGTATTAACTTGGAATTGGAAAAGTAAACTAAGTTAAACTAAAAATTGCAGAACTTAAAGATGGAAAAATTGCCCGAAGGATGGCGATGGGCTTGCTGTTTTGTCTGGTCTGCGGCCCTGCTCTCTTCTCTTCTTCCTTGACCTTGCTGCTGCGATTTTTTCTTCTCCCTTCCTCCTTTTGCTGCTCTATTTATTTTTGGTGCCGCCGCCCTATTCAGAAACGTCCATCTCTGGTCGAGAATCACTCTGTCCGTTTCTGCGATCCCGAAATCTTTTCAGCCGACCAAAACTAATACGGAAACTGCTGCGTTTTTTTTTTCCTCTTTCTTTCAGGCCTTATGTCTTCTTTCTTTCTGAACGTAGGTTTACTCCTTAGCCAGCCACGTGAGTTTTCAAATGCTGCAGATTCAAAATAGAAACCTTGTACTCCCTCCGTATCAAATTACCTGACTCACTTTCCTTTTTTGGTGTATCAATTTAATTGACCCCTTTCCCTTGTTGGAAAGAATCCCACTCAAAAAGCAGCTACAGTACCGCTACAGTGTCGCTACAATACCAAAAACCTCTTACTTTTAATAAAGTACAGTAATTGTCTTAAACTGCGTGAAAAGCAAATGGGTCAATTAATTTGATACGGAGGGAGTATAAAGCAAGTCACGTGCACAAGGGTTGAACTAGAAAACTAAATTAGTTAACTTAGTCTAAAATGACAAATAATTCTCTACAAGAATGACTTGCTGACCACTTGTTAAAATAAAATAAATCAAAGAACCTAACTAGAGAATAAAGACACTTATTGAGACCTCTTGAATATGTAAAAGTAGCAGCAAATAAATGCCCAAGTGATGCAATGGTATAGAGTTCGACACTTGCTTTATTAAAATTAAACGGCTAAAGGGTCAAATTGGCCCTTGAACTAGCTTAAAGTGTTCAATGAGCCCCTTATATAGGAGGTTTTGCCCAGCCGTCGTCAATTAAGATGGTTCCCAGTGGAATTTTTTGATAAAATTTTTTGAGCATCTTCTTCATTAAGTCTAGTTTACGCTTACCAAATTTCAGCTACAAATTCAATCGGGAAGGCAGTCAAATGATATTTTGAAGATGACTACGCAGTTAAACAGCACAGTACATTTCGGAAAATCATTTGATTGCCTTGCCGGATGAATGTTTCGCTGAAATTTGGCATGAGTAAGCTAGACATAATGAAGAAGATGCTCAAAAATTTTCATCAAAAAATTCCACCGGCAACCGCACCAATCGTCGACGGCCGGACAAACCTCTCAAATAAGGGGCTAATTGAACAATTTAAACTACTTCAAGGGTCTATTTGACTCTTCAGCCTTGTTTACTTGCATTACTACCCCAAATAAGTTTGATACCACCCATTACTGGTGCGTGTCATTTTAACACCAAATAATAAAGTGAGCTAACACGTATATATGGAAAGTTCAGGTCGATCCCACAAGGAGTTTGGATACGGAATTGATTAATTCAGAATCTAGTCCTTGGGCGGACGGTAGAACGGAAACTTGTCGTCATACAATTACCTATTTTAGTTGGTTTTGCGCGGTTTGTTTGGTTATGATAAGTTAAGCCAATTATGTTTAATCGATCATTGACAAAAATAATTTACTCGTCATAATAGTTGGCGTAGATTATTTGCAAACGCAACTAATCTCCAATTCACCTATTATACGTAAAAGCGACAAACGCCGTCAATTAGTCTAATTGATTCCCAATCTTACAACAAACGTTTAAGATTCAAGGCTCAATCGCATTAATCTTTGTGAATTTTTAGCAAACACGAATAATATTTCCCAAATGTGTAGGGATGGAATCGGGCCAGGTGGCCTGACCCGGAACCGGCCCGAACCGCCACTGTTCCGGCCCGGTGGCCCAATCAGTGGCCGGTTCGGGTAGGCCCAACCCGCTAAGGTTCCGGTCCGGGCTCGGGGCCCTCAAATCGTGAACCGGCCCAGCCGGTTCGGGCGAAGTCCGGGCCATTTTATTTATTTTTTCTTCTTTTTTTTAATTTTTTTTAAGTTTTTGGGTTGGACTGGGTATTTTGGGTCATTTGAGATGGTTTGGGATGGTTTTGGGGGTGAGGTTAGGGGTTAATTAGGAAAAGGCAAAAAAAAAAAAATTGAACCGAGCCCCGGCCCGGACCCGGGGTTACCTAGGCTAGTTCCGAGCCTCCCCTTTCCTGAACCGAGGCCCTGCCGAGCCCAGGCCCAAACTGGCCCGAGTCCATCCTTACAAACAGGTGAATATTCCATTTGTATCCATATTTTTCTAGATGGTTCGTAGGCACCTAGTTGCTACTATAATGAACCCTAATTTCAACACATCAGATTTCCACTAGCAATTAACTCACAAGAATAGTAAATAAGTATGCATCCAAATTACTGACCTCATGAATTCAACAGAAATTAATTCATACAAATATAGAATACTATGCCAAATAAATCATTCAACACAAATCTCGCAGAGTATTAACTTGGAATTGGAAAACTAAAGTTTAGCTAATTTAAACAGAACCAAATTAAACTAAAAATTGCAGAACTTAAAGATGGAAAAACTGCCCAAAGGATGGCGATAGGCTTGCTGTTTTGTCTGGTCTGCGCCCCTGCTCTCTTCACTTCTTCCTTGACCTTGCTGCTGCGTTTTTTTCTTCTCCCTTCCTCCTCTTGCTGCTCTATTTATTTTTGGTGCCGCCCTATTCGGAAACGTCCATCTCTGGTCGAGAATCACTCCGTCCGTTTCTGCGATACCGAAATCTTCTCAGCCGACCAAAACTGATATGGAAACTGCTGCGTTTTTTTTTCCTCTTTCTTTCAGGCCTTGTGTCTTCTTTCTTTCTGAACGTAGGTTTACTCCCTAGCCAGCCACGTGAGTTTTCAATTGCTGCAGATTCAAAATAGAAACCTTGTATAAAGCAAGTCACATGCACTAGGTTTAGACTAGAAAACTAAATTAGTTAACTTAGTCTAAAATGACAAATAATTCTCTACAAGAATGACTAGCTGACCACTTGTTAAAATAAAATAAATCAAGAACCTAACTAGAGAATAAAGACACTTATTGAGACCTCTTGAATATGTAAAAGTAGCAGCAAATAAATGCCCAACAATCACATTTCCTTACAAAACAGCAAGTCCACATAATTCAGGCAATTTAGGTACAAGAGCAGTATTATGGAAAGTCAAATTAATGACAAGCTAGATGTCCTTAACTAGAATAGTAATCCCAAACATACTACTAGCAATGATTCTTCTGGACTGTTTCAGGAGAACAACATTGTTATACCAAAACATCAATCTCAAATGAAGTCTTATAAAGTAACATCTATTTCTGTTCATCATAAAGAACATCAACAACTGTTACTTTTCATACTGAAACTTCTAACCCTTTGTGTAATATTGTTACATGATTAAAATGTTTTACAGAACACAAAGAGATAAGCCTCTTACGGATCTTTCATATCAACTATACTCTAACTTTTACCAGAATCGGGTATCACTGCCACATCAAAACGCACGACATCCTTTTCCGCCTCTGGATTTTTTATTCTGTCTCCATCGTAACGTATGGCCTGCATTATCATCTTCTGATGCCCTAATGTAAACTCTCTTGTACCCACGATATGGCCTTTTCCGGTGTAAATGTACATCTGCCCATTATTAATTCTGAATCGGAACCGAAGAGGATACTCTGGATAAAGACGCATGGTTACTGAATCAGACTTAATACTGGCATATATTAACCGTTCCACAAGGTCAGCTTTAAGAGTTAAGGACACCGGTTGTTTGATCTTGAAGGAGACTGCTTCGTCCCGCTGGAATGGAACGAACAAAACATCATCAGAGTCTGTCTATGGAGCTCAAGTTGGCTTGGTAAACAGATGATCAAGTTAATAAAAAATGCTCTGACCGAGAATGCATACACCCACCTTAACAAATACAAAATAACCTTGGATAGAGAACTTAATGCCTTCATTGGTCACAGATATCCTAACTGAAAACCCACCCCAAAGAGAAGATTACGTTAGCCTTCAGAAGAAGACAGCTACCGGAGTACAATAATACTGTAATAAAGATCAATAAAACATTTCATTCCCCAAATCCTTACATTCATCATCTGCTAGGCTGCTAGGTTCAGGATCAGGAACTGATAAAGCTCCCAATCTGGGATCTACGAACCGAGTGATCTTACGATGCCCATAGGTGCAGCAAATCTCACCGATAATCCTAGTAAACATATCTGATGGGAGTTTCACAGTGGCATGATAATGCAATTTCTTAACTTGTGGCCTACAGATGTCAGAGTCCGGATGCTCAAGATACTTCAAGGTAGCCGGCGGCACGCCTGCATCTGCAAAGTCACAAGCAGCCAAGCAAACAACAACAACATCAAATCGAAGCAACAACAACATCAAATCGAGTCCAAAAATGAAAACATACGGGGCTTGATAGAGATGATGTTCTCTCCTTGGTTGACCTCGATGCAGATGAGGAAACCGCAATTAGCCCTGCAAATTGCAGCCAAACGATTCATATTCAACCGCATGGTAATCTCACGGTCATTGTAACCAGTGTCAGGATCACTAGATTTGATATCTTTCCGAGCATTGATAATAGCATTCACAATGGTTAATTTTTCGCGATCTGTGCCATACAATCGGAACCCGCTGGAGGAGAAAATCAAAACCGGATTAGGTCCGTTTAGCGTAGGCTGAAGAGCATTCATAACATCACTCAACACATAACCGTCAAACCATAAACGCAACATTGTGTATTGAGATGTAATTCACGGATTGGCAAAAGAAGTAGAGAACAAGATCTCAAGTTTGAGATGAGAACAATAAGAGAGAAAAGCTGACTAGGGTTTCAGATATGCCGAAATAAAAATAAAAGTACTGCTTCGTACATATCTACTCCGGAATGTATGAAATAGAACTAGATTTCGCACAAGCCCGTTGGGCGATTGAGGGGTGTTCGGAGTCCATATAATCCATCAGAGAGTAAATTAGAGCATCAGAAGTTTCTGGAATTTCATCCAAATACTTCTGCTTCTGCTCCCTGAAGGAGCAGAATCAGTTTTGAGAATCAGATCCAAAACCCCCCTGGATAACATGTCCAACTCGAATTCGGTCATTTGAAAGAATATAGATTAAAATAGAATCCATTTGATTACACTGAAATTGGTTGATTCAATCGAAATTTAGAAGGTTCTAGTTGAATTGGCTAATTCTACTAATTTATGAATAAAATTAATAAAATACAGAAAGAATTATACAAAATAGATAAAATGGCCAACTTGAGCCAATTAATTCGGGAAACAACATCAATTTTAATTATTTTGATTATTATACATAGCAGCGCGTGAAACAAAAAGTTACGTTTTTGCAGAACCACCTTCAAAGTCATTCACGACATACATCGCACCATTCGCACCGATCTTCGCATCGCTCATCCCACCCTAGCTCTTCGCCAACCAGCCATCCCTCTAGAACCAGATCCTCCGACCACAATTATGATTGTTGAGGATGGGGATCCTCCGACCACAATTATGATTGTTGAGGATGGGAATTGCTCGGGTGGAGATATCCCCATTTCGAAAGCAGATGACATGGACAACTTTGCTGATATCATTAACAAAAAAAATTTAACGATCTCTCAAAGCCCGAATGGGGCAGATGCGATTCTACAAACAACATAAAAAAGAGTGGTTAGGAAGGTTCCTTCTGCCCAATTATCACCCAGGCTTACCCGGTCTCAAGTGTTTAAGGAAGCCAATGGGCTTCACATATCTTAAAGCCATCCAATAATCAACGTGAACATTTTTTTGATCCGTCTCCCTATAACTTTCAGCTCGGCATGTTTTTCCTGGAAAACCCCTCCCAAAAAGCCAAATCAATTGAAGTGCCAGATGCGAAAACCAAAAACAATTACAAGAAGATAAGATGATGTATGAAATAGCTAGAAATGGCGGCCTCAGCGCTGGAAACATGAGACGAAGCACGAGACTGGGAGAAGAGAACCCTATACTACTGACTTATTTTAGACAGTCAAGTGACACTAAAAATTTACGAAGTTAATCCCAACATAGTTGGGGTTAAGGTGATAATGGTTGATGAATTATTACTTGCACTAACATGTGAAAAAACGAGCTTACCAACTTGAAACGATCTTCAGTTTTCACAGACATGGCTTTGCCTCGAATAATCATACGGCTACATGGATCCATTGTGCCCCGCACTGATGAGGTAAAAGGGTACACTGAAATCCCTCTGGTTTTTCTTCCAATCAGCTGGTTCACCTGAACAAAGTCCAAGTGACATTCATGTAATTTCCATATGTATGTTTGAGTTTTTAATTAGTTAGAGTGATTTTTACTTTGGAAATTACACACTTTTGGTGTAATAGTTTAGTTTGTAAAATATTTGTAATTTGTTTAGATTAGGTTTATTCTGAGCTCAAACAGGTCCAAGAACACTTTGGGGACCACTGGTGAACATCACAAGTGGAAGGAAGGTGCAAAAATACAAGAAAAAAAGTGAAGATCTCATTTTTGGTCTGTACCCGGTCGGGTATGACCTATACCCGGTCGGGTACCCTTCTGAAAAATCGAATCAAATCAAATCCGGGAACAAGGCATCATGCGGGAGGATTTTAACACGTTCGGGTGTCATACCCGATCGGGTGACCGACAGACCCGGTCGGGTATGACCCCATTTTCCAGCTTCAAGGAAACCACATCTTATACCTGATCGAGTGAGCTGAAAGCCCGATCGGGTACACAACCCTGCAGGCCTAAAAAGCCTATAAATACACCTCATTTCCTTCACAATAAACGACCAATTCCTATATACTTCTAAGCTCAGTTCAGACAAGTTATTTCTTTATATTTTCTTCATGTTTAGTCTCCAAATGAGGAGCTAAACTCTTCCATTTTGGTTTTGCTACTTTGAAGCTTAATGAATTGTAAGTTGTGAGTTATTTTCTTTAATCTTCTTCCTTGAATATTAATTAATTCCTATTCCTATTTCATATGAATATTTTGAGCATTACTTAAAGGATCAACTAGTTTTGTTTCATATATTAATTAATACTAGAATCGGTCGATTAATACGCTTGTTATTAATTCGGTCCTTTCACGGTAGTAAACTTGGGTTGTTAATGCATGCGTCTCATGGTTAATAACTTAAGGGGAATTAATTATATTGATTAAACCAATAAACTGCTTGTGTTGAGGTTATCAATCTCAATCGTTTTCATCTTGATTTTATTGCTACTATCGAGTGAATATACGGCGCGTGTTCTATATTAACTCGGTAATAAGTTTTATTAATGAACGCGTCTCGTTATTAATAACTACCCTCGATGAATTGGATATACTACTCGATTGAGTATTCGAGAGGAACATAGTTAAGGATATAACCAGGATCGACGAACATTTCATTAAGTGGATGAAAGCAAAGCCAAGTCTTCTTCTCATCAATTAAACCACATAAGTCGTTCATCTTTGTGTTTAAATATAATTTAAGTTCATCAACCAAATATAAACCCCCCCTATTACCTATTTATTTCCATAAAAAGAGAAGTGTTCATTTCCCTGTGGATACGAACCTTACTTCAATATACTACGTATATTTGTTGTATTGATTATTATTTTGAGTGCATACACGACAAAGTGCACGTCACCAAGTCCTTTGTTCCCATCTCCAGCAGCGACTGACTATTAACCAATTCAAAAAGGCAATCAAGTTAACTTACTTGCACCATCTCACTTACAACATTAAAGCTTTCGGGTCCAACAAAGAATCCTGCCATTAAGTATCCAGGTATAACCTATCAAATTACCAACTATTAGATCCACTAAAGGTCAGGCATCTAACACCAAGATATAAGATGGTTATTTTAGATATATTGAGTGAACGTTAACAAACTGGTTGTCCAGCACAAGCAAAAGCAATTCCACCACAAGTTGCAGCAACGATGACCACGACTAGATCTGATATCAACCTATAAAGTACGCACAATGCAGCACATTTAGTTGTATTGACACGAGAATTGACAATTGCAGCAACATGCTACACCTGGTTTGAAACCAGTACCTTAAGAATTAAGTATAATTGCAGCACAGGATATTTTGACTTGAAATTGGAAATGATAAAGACATTTTCCTAAGTACACGAAGTACCTTGAGAAGCTTATGTGAGTTATTTTTGTGGTTTTATGAAGGAAAAGTTTTTAAAATATTATGCACATATTCCGCATATTTATAGTATTGCATTTATTCTCGATCCTCGTTATAGAATTGGTAATTTGGAAGAATGTTTGAAGTTCTATTATAATGCTTTTTTTGGTCCATTTCCAATGTATGATGATAACGCCATAGATCCGCAAGTTGAATACAACGAGGTTAGTAATTTATTTTATGCCTTATTTAATGAGTTTCGTGCACAATATGGCAATTTGCCCCTCCCCCGACACACACATCTTCATCTAAAGGAAACTCACTTTTTAAATATGCTTTTGGCAATCTTATGAAAAAACCTAAAAAAACTCACACTACTGAACAAACCGCACTTAATGAGATTTCTTTGTATATAAATTATGAAGTATAATTTGACGAAAATGAGGAGTTTGACGTTCTAAAGTGGTGGAAGTCAAAAGAAAGAATGTTCCCAATTTTGGCACGGATGGCTAAGCAAGTGCTATCAATGCCGGTTTCAACAGTTGCCGTGGAACAAGAATTTAGTTCGGCCGGCAACGTTCTAACGGCATCTAGAACAAGTTTGAGCGCTGAGTCTCTTGAGACGCTTATATGCTACCACGATTGGTTGAAGGCCATACGTAGATGTCAAGAAGTTAGCATCACCCCCTCCCAAGACTTTATGGATGAATCAACAACCGAGGGTGACTCCTATGCCGGAGATTCCGATTGATTAGTATTTTACAGTTTATTATAAAATGTATTTCATGTTTTAATTTTTCCTTCAATTCTCTATTGTAATTTGTAAAGTTGTATTTCATATTTCAAATAAATATACATTCTTTTTTTTATATGTAGCACTTCTCAAATTAATTAATTAATTAATTAATTAATTAATTAATTAATTGGTTACAAACTTACAACTTACAACTTACAACTTAGAATTTATTGTATTAGTATTTTTTGAAAAATGTATTTCATATTTAAGTTGTATTAAAAAGATAAAAAAAATTAACCTAGGCCCGACCCGACCCGGCGGGTGACCCGGCCCGAACCGGAACCGGGTGAAGGACGGGCCGGTTCCGGGCCTCCCTTTATAGGACCGGAGGCCCGGCCCAGGCCCGGCCCGAACCGAGTCCAGCCCTAATACCCTCTATACATATATCGATACTACCTCAAAGACACTTATGAAACTAACATAGGAACTGATGTGTCATGTCTACAAGTCATAGGCTCAGGTAAGCCCAAAGCGGGATCAGCGAATTATATGACTCCTACGGAGGTGATTAATCCAGAGTATAGTCCTTGGGCGGACGGTAGACAGGAGACTTGTCATCACATAGTTACCTATTTTAGTTGGTTTTGCACGGTTTGTTTGGTTATGATAAGTTAAGCCAGTTATGTTAAAAAAAAGAGAGATTTCTAATTCCAAGTTTTAACCCATGTAAGTTTAATCGATCATTGACAAAAATAATTTATTCGTCATAATAGTCGGCGTAGATTATTTGCAAACGCAACTAATCTCATATTCACCTATTATACATAAAAGCGACAAACGCCGTCAATTAATCTAATTGATTCCCAATCTTACAACAAAAGTTTAAGATTCAAGGCTCAATCGCATTAATCTTTGTGAATTTTTAGCCAACACGAATAATATTTCCTAAACGGGTGATTATTCCATTTGTATCCATATTTTTCTAGATGGTTCGTATGCACCTAGTTGCTACTATAATGAACCCTAATTTCAACAAATCAGATTTCAACTAAGCAATTAACTCACAAGAATACTAAATAAGTATGCATCCAAATTACTCATCTCATGAAATTAATTCATACAAATATAGAATACTATGGCAAATAAATCATTCAACACAAAAATCTCGCGAATTAAACTACAGAGTATTAACTTGGAATTGGAAAAGTAAACTAAGTTAAACTAAAAATTGCAGAACTTAAAGATGGAAAAATTGCCCGAAGGATGGCGATGGGCTTGCTGTTTTGTCTGGTCTGCGCCCCTGCTCTCTTCTCTTCTTCCTTGACCTTGCTGCTGCGATTTTTTCTTCTCCCTTCCTCCTTTTGCTGCTCTATTTATTTTTGGTGCCGCCGCCCTATTCAGAAACGTCCATCTCTGGTCGAGAATCACTCTGTCCGTTTCTGCGATCCCGAAATCTTTTCAGCCGACCAAAACTGATACGGAAACTGCTGCGTTTTTTTTCCCTCTTTCTTTCAGGCCTTATGTCTTCTTTCTTTCTGAACGTAGGTTTACTCCTTAGCCAGCCACGTGAGTTTTCAAATGCTGCAGATTCAAAATAGAAACCTTGTACTCCCTCCGTATCAAATTACTTGACTCACTTTCCTTTTTTGGTGTATCAATTTAATTGACCCCTTTCCCTTGTTGGAAAGAATCCCACTCAAAAAGCAGCTACACTACCGCTACAGTGTCGCTACAGTACCAAAAACCTCTTACTTTTAATAAAGTCTACAGTAATTGTCTTAAACTGCGTGAAAAGCAAATGGGTCAATTAATTTGATACGGAGGGAGTATAAAGCAAGTCACGTGCACAAGGGTTGAACTAGAAAACTAAATTAGTTAACTTAGTCTAAAATGACAAATAATTCTCTACAAGAATGACTTGCTGACCACTTGTTAAAATAAAATAAATCAAAGAACCTAACTAGAGAATAAAGACACTTATTGAGACCTCTTGAATATGTAAAAGTAGCAGCAAATAAATGCCCAAGTGATGCAATGGTATAGAGTTCGACACTTGCTTTATTAAAATTAAACGGCTAAAGGGTCAAATTGGCCCTTGAACTAGCTTAAAGTGTTCAATGAGCCCCTTATATAGGAGGTTTTGCCCAGCCGTCGTCAATTAAGATGGTTCCCAGTGGAATTTTTTGATAAAATTTTTTGAGCATCTTCTTCATTAAGTCTAGTTTACGCTTACCAAATTTCAGCTACAAATTCAATCGGGAAGGCAGTCAAATGATATTTTGAAGATGACTACGCAGTTAAACAACACAGTACATTTCGGAAAATCATTTGATTGCCTTGCCGGATGAATGTTTCGCTGAAATTTGGCATGAGTAAGCTAGACATAATGAAGAAGATGCTCAAAAATTTTCATCAAAAAATTCCACCGGCAACCGCACCAATCGTCGACGGCCGGACAAACCTCTCAAATAAGGGGCTAATTGAACAATTTAAACTAGTTCAAGGGTGTATTTGACTCTTCAGCCTTGTTTACTTGCATTACTACCCCAAATAAGTTTGATACCACCCATTACTGGTGCGTGTCATTTTAACACCAAATAATAAAGTGAGCTAACACGTATATATGGAAAGTTCAGGTCGATCCCACAAGGAGTTTGGATACGGAATTGATTAATTCAGAATCTAGTCCTTGGGCGGACGGTAGAACGGAAACTTGTCGTCATACAATTACCTATTTTAGTTGGTTTTGCACGGTTTGTTTGGTTATGATAAGTTAAGCCAATTATGTTTAATCGATCATTGACAAAAATAATTTACTCGTCATAATAGTTGGCGTAGATTATTTGCAAACGCAACTAATCTCCAATTCACCTATTATACGTAAAAGCGACAAACGCCGTCAATTAGTCTAATTGATTCCCAATCTTACAACAAACGTTTAAGATTCAAGGCTCAATCGCATTAATCTTTGTGAATTTTTAGCAAACACGAATAATATTTCCCAAATGTGTAGGGATGGAATCGGGCCAGGTGGCCTGACCCGGAACCGGCCCGAACCGCCACTGTTCCGGCCCGGTGGCCCGATCAAGCGCGGGTTCGGGTAGGCCCAACCCGCTAAGGTTCCGGTCCGGGCTCGGGGCCCTCAAATCGTGAACCGGCCCAGCCGGTTCGGGCGAAGTCCGGGCCATTTTATTTATTTTTTCTTTTTTTTTTGATTTTTTTTAAGTTTTTGGGTTAGACTGGGTATTTTGGGTCATTTGAGATGGTTTGGGATGGTTTTGGGGGTGAGGTTAGGGGTTAATTAGGAAAAGGCAAAAAAAAAAAAATTGAACCGAGCCCCGGCCCGGACCCGGGGTTACCCGGGCCAGTTCCGAGCCTCCCCTTTCCTGAACCGAGGCCCTGCCGAGCCCAGGCCCAAACTGGCCCGAGTCCATCCTTACAAACAGGTGAATATTCCATTTGTATCCATATTTTTCTAGATGGTTCGTAGGCACCTAGTTGCTACTATAATGAACCCTAATTTCAACAAATCAGATTTCCACTAGCAATTAACTCACAAGAATAGTAAATAAGTATGCATCCAAATTACTGACCTCATGAATTCAACAGAAATTAATTCATACAAATATAGAATACTATGCCAAATAAATCATTCAACACAAATCTCGCGAATTAAACTACAGAGTATTAACTTGGAATTGGAAAACTAAAGTTTAGCTAATTTAAACAGAACCAAATTAAACTAAAAATTGCAGAACTTAAAGATGGAAAAACTGCCCAAAGGATGGCGATAGGCTTGCTGTTTTGTCTGGTCTGCGCCCCTGCTCTCTTCACTTCTTCCTTGACCTTGCTGCTGCGTTTTTTTCTTCTCCCTTCCTCCTCTTGCTGCTCTATTTATTTTTGGTGCCGCCCTATTCGGAAACGTCCATCTCTGGTCGAGAATCACTCCGTCCGTTTCTGCGATACCGAAATCTTCTCAGCCGACCAAAACTGATATGGAAACTGCTGCGTTTTTTTTTTCCTCTTTCTTTCAGGCCTTGTGTCTTCTTTCTTTCTGAACGTAGGTTTACTCCTTAGCCAGCCACGTGAGTTTTCAATTGCTGCAGATTCAAAATAGAAACCTTGTATAAAGCAAGTCACATGCACTAGGTTTAGACTAGAAAACTAAATTAGTTAACTTAGTCTAAAATGACAAATAATTCTCTACAAGAATGACTAGCTGACCACTTGTTAAAATAAAATAAATCAAGAACCTAACTAGAGAATAAAGACACTTATTGAGACCTCTTGAATATGTAAAAGTAGCAGCAAATAAATGCTCAACAATCACATTTCCTTACAAAACAGCAAGTCCACATAATTCAGGCAATTTAGGTACAAGAGCAGTATTATGGAAAGTCAAATTAATGACAAGCTAGATGTCCTTAACTAGAATAGTAATCCCAAACATACTACTAGCAATGATTCTTCTGGACTGTTTCAGGAGAACAACATTGTTATACCAAAACATCAATCTCAAATGAAGTCTTATAAAGTAACATCTATTTCTGTTCATCATAAAGAACATCAACAACTGTTACTTTTCATACTGAAACTTCTAACCCTTTGTGTAATATTGTTACATGATTAAAATGTTTTACAGAACACAAAGAGATAAGCCTCTTACGGATCTTTCATATCAACTATACTCTAACTTTTACCAGAATCGGGTATCACTGCCACATCAAAACGCACGACATCCTTTTCCGCCTCTGGATTTTTTATTCTGTCTCCATCGTAACGTATGGCCTGCATTATCATCTTCTGATGCCCTAATGTAAACTCTCTTGTACCCACGATATGGCCTTTTCCGGTGTAAATGTACATCTGCCCATTATTAATTCTGAATCGGAACCGAAGAGGATACTCTGGATAAAGACGCATGGTTACTGAATCAGACTTAATACTGGCATATATTAACCGTTCCACAAGGTCAGCTTTAAGAGTTAAGGACACCGGTTGTTTGATCTTGAAGGAGACTGCTTCGTCCCGCTGGAATGGAACGAACAAAACATCATCAGAGTCTGTCTATGGAGCTCAAGTTGGCTTGGTAAACAGATGATCAAGTTAATAAAAAATGCTCTGACCGAGAATGCATACACCCACCTTAACAAATACAAAATAACCTTGGATAGAGAACTTAATGCCTTCATTGGTCACAGATATCCTAACTGAAAACCCACCCCAAAGAGAAGATTACGTTAGCCTTCAGAAGAAGACAGCTACCGGAGTACAATAATACTGTAATAAAGATCAATAAAACATTTCATTCCCCAAATCCTTACATTCATCATCTGCTAGGCTGCTAGGTTCAGGATCAGGAACTGATAAAGCTCCCAATCTGGGATCTACGAACCGAGTGATCTTACGATGCCCATAGGTGCAGCAAATCTCACCGATAATCCTAGTAAACATATCTGATGGGAGTTTCACAGTGGCATGATAATGCAATTTCTTAACTTGTGGCCTACAGATGTCAGAGTCCGGATGCTCAAGATACTTCAAGGTAGCCGGCGGCACGCCTGCATCTGCAAAGTCACAAGCAGCCAAGCAAACAACAACAACATCAAATCGAAGCAACAACAACATCAAATCGAAGCAACAACAACATCAAATCGAAGCAACAACAACATCAAATCGAGTCCAAAAATGAAAACATACGGGGCTTGATAGAGATGATGTTCTCTCCTTGGTTGACCTCGATGCAGATGAGGAAACCGCAATTAGCCCTGCAAATTGCAGCCAAACGATTCATATTCAACCGCATGGTAATCTCACGGTCATTGTAACCAGTGTCAGGATCACTAGATTTGATATCTTTCCGAGCATTGATAATAGCATTCACAATGGTTAATTTTTCGCGATCTGTGCCATACAATCGGAACCCGCTGGAGGAGAAAATCAAAACCGGATTAGGTCCGTTTAGCGTAGGCTGAAGAGCATTCATAACATCACTCAACACATAACCGTCAAACCATAAACGCAACATTGTGTATTGAGATGTAATTCACGGATTGGCAAAAGAAGTAGAGAACAAGATCTCAAGTTTGAGATGAGAACAATAAGAGAGAAAAGCTGACTAGGGTTTCAGATATGTCGAAATAATAAAGAAACGCCCTTTCTCCGCGCACGTATACCCTTTTCACATGCTAAATTCTTTACAACATCACACGCACGATATAAAAAAAAACCGACCCCCAATCACCCGCCCTGGCCCGAGACATTTGGGGCGGGTTCACCCCGCCCTGCCTTGCAAAGGGGCGGGTCCGTCCCGCCCCGCCTATACAATGGGGCGGGTCTGGGTATTAGAATTGACCTGTGCCGCCCCGACCCGCCCCGCCCTGACCCGTTCAATATATAAGTATATATACTTTTTCTTAAATTATACTACAAATATACTTCAACATACATATGTGTGTATATCATAAATCATAAATTATTTGATCTAATAATATATGAATATATATTAGAATGAGATGAACGACGGATTATCAATGTCTTCTTTATACATAGAATTTTAATACATATATTCAATTATTAATATAACTAATTAGATTAACTATTCAAGTCTGAGTAATTATTCCTTAATTTTTGAAATTTTTAACGTATCATGAATTTGATTTAATATATTGATTTTTAATTATTATTTAGAGACAAACTTTATGTAGATTCAATTGGTAACAACTTCCCACAAATATAAATACATACTAGCTAATTAGATTGTGGCGGGGCGGACCCGCCCTGCATGGGTCGGGTCATGGGTCAACAAGTTTGGACTCGTGCAGGTCACGGGGCGCCCCGCCCCGACCCATTGCCATGCCTAGCCATACTTTCGCTTTTTAATGAAACACTTTAAATGATGTGGTAACATCATTTAGTTTGTAGATATAAAAACATCATTACGTGTTTGCTAGTAGTATAATTTACATTAAATCTAATTGTTACAAATTTATAAATATAGTGTAAATTAATGTTTTCATGAGTATAAATTTTGTATAGTGTGTGAATTAATGTTTTCATAAGAGTATAATTTTTTTAAATTAAATATACAAATATCATAATTAAAAGCATTATCCAAAATTTGTCATCATATATTGACCAAAAAAAGTTAATATGACCAACTTTTTTGGAATGGTGATAATATTATTCAATTAATTGGACAATGTTTTTGTAAAAATCAGAACGAAAATTAAAAGTTACCACTTTTTATAAAATCGTAATTTTTTATAATGGACGGAAAGGAATGTGAAGCCCAAACCTCTAGTCTTCTAGTACGTATGTAGCAATCAATCAAAATTTGAAAGATGTAATTTGAGTTTGCACCCCATATTATAACTTAAATTGGACTTTGCACTTCGTTTTTAAAATTCTTTATTTTTGCATCCCCAACCCCATTTGAAAAGACAAAAATGCCCTCAATCAGGAATATGTTGAAGGTCAACAAAATTGTTAATGGAGGGGCATTTTTGCCTTTTCAAATGGGGTTGGGGTGCAAAAACAAATATTTTTAAAAATGGAGTGCAAAGTCCAATTTAGACTATAGTTTGGGGTGCAAACTCAAATTACCCCAATTTGAAAAGGTTAAATTTGTCAAGTGAAAGTTGCGTTAAGTATTATAGAGGGTGCGCGGAGCAACACCGTGAAACGCCCTTTCCATTTTAGATGGTCATAGTAGTCCCCTGTTCTATTAGACTTTGCGAACTTTCCATTTTTAGATGGAGTAAATTGAATAAATGGTCCCTAAACTATCATTACATATCGTTTTGAATTAAATCGGGAAGGCAGTCAAATGATTTTCCGAAATGTACTGCGTTGTTTAACTGCGCAGTTATCTTCAAAAAATCATTTGACTGCCTTCCCGGTTGAATTTTTAGCTGAAATTTGGTACGGGTAAACTAGACTTAATGAAGAAGATGATCAAAAAATTTCATCAAAAAATTCCACCGGGAACTGCCCCAATTGACGACGGCCGGGTAGAACCTCCTATATAAGGGGCTAATTGAACACTTTAAGTTAGTTCATATACCTATTAATTTGACCCTTTAGCCTAATATTATATTAATTTGGCGGATTTCTCCGGTGATGGGAGCTAGTTATGGTGGGAGTGGTCATTTACATCATTACGCCTCCTTCTCCAACCGGAGGGCTTCCTGAGCCTCTTGAAGCTGCCTCCGGGATTCGGCCAGGGCCTCGTCGGCCTGCAGCTTCTGGGTATGTGATTGCTCCATCCTCTAAAGCAGTTCACCAAGTCCGAGGGAAGCCTACAATGGGAACCAACAAACAACAAGAGTTAAACTGCTGCACAATATATACTAAGCCAAATCAACTAATGAGAAAAAGGATAGGAGGATCTTACAGTGACGGAAGCTTGTAGGATCTTTGAGCCGAGGGCATCGTCCTTGAACCGGGAGAGCACCGATTTATCCGTCGGAGGGGTGGCACCCCTCAGGAACTCCCTCGGGTCCAGAGTACCATGCATAATGGCAGTCCCCTTAGGTCTATTCTGAGCTCAAACAGGTCTACTATCACTCAAATGACAGTTGTTGAACCCCAAAAGTGGAAGGAAGGTGCAAAATCACAAGACAAAGGGAAGATCCTGATTTTTTGGTCTATACCCGGTCGAGTATCATCTACACTCGATCGGGTATCTTGTTGAAATTTCAAATCGGATCGGATCCGAAGACAAAGGAACATCCAGGGAAGATTTTGACCACGATCGAGTGTTTATACCCGATCGGGTACACTGACATACTCGATCGGGTATGCATATAAATAATACTCTGAATTCGATCGAGTATGGGTCGAATTCGAGTTTCTACACATACTCGATCGGGTACCTGTTTATACTTGATCGGGTATCTTGTTGAAATTTCAAATCGGATCGGATCCGAAGACAAAGGAACATGCAGGGAAGATTTTGACTACGATCGAGTGTCTATACCCGATCGGGTACACCGACATACTCGATCGGGTATGCATATAAATAATACTTTGAATTCGATCGAGTATGGGTCGAATTCGAGTTTCTCCACATACTCGATCGGGTACCTGTTTATACCCAATCGAGTACCCGAGCTGCACCCCTAAAAAGCCTATAAATACACCCTCTTTCCTTCACAATTAGATACCAATTCCTTTATACTCTTAAGCTCAGTTTAGAATAGCCTTTCTTTATATTTCTTCTAGCATGTTTAGTCTCCAAATGAGGAGCTAAACTTCCATTTCTTGGTTTTGCTCTTGAAGCTTGTTGATTATTAAAGTTGTGAGTTATTTTCTTACTTTCTCTTCTTGATTATTAATTCTTCCCTTAACCTCATTCATCATTAATGTTGGAGGGTTTCTAAGTGACGATTAATTAACGTTCCGACATTAATTATTACTAGAAACGATCAACGAACCGATGGTTAATCGTTGATGGTTTCACAAGTAAGTAACTTTGGTTTATTGATGCATGGTTGTGGTTAATAAACTTAAGAGGGATTAATTTTTTTGGTTAAACCGAGACCGTTGTGTTGAGGTTATTAATCTCAATTGATTTCATCAAGGAGTTAAGGAGGTTAAAAGCTACTATTATATCAGTATACGGCGTTGTTCTATATTTGATTAATAGTAAGGGTTACTAATGAACGGTCGTTGTTAATAACTACCCTCGATGAATTGGAGATATTCCGCGATTGAGTATTCGAGAGGGGATAAGTTATATATAGATATAACAATGATCGACTAAAATATATCAACAAGTGGAAAGTAGCAAGGCCAAATTCCTTCTATTCTTGAATTTAATCCCATATAACTCATTCATCTTCGTGTTTAATTTAATTAAATCACTCAATCAAAACCCCCCTTTTAATTTAATTCCTTTCCCTGTGGATACGAACTCTACCACGCTATACTACGTATAGTTGTTAGTATCGAATTATTTTGAGTGCACACACGACAAAGTTCACGTCAATTACATTAAGTCTTGATTTCATGATTTATTTTGTAGAAGAACTACGCTTGATTATCATGGTGCAAATTATTTTATTTAATATCATGATTGAACAAAGTCTTCGCACCATGTGAAAATATCACTTGTAGTGAGTGCCTCCTATAGAGGATCTAATGTGAACAATTTTCTTATGTGTTTCACATGATTTTATGACTAGAATTTAAACTAATTTAAAATGAACTATATTTATACTACTTCTCAACCCTTCATGCAGAAAGAGTTGAATGAGGAAAACATTATCCAATGAATTTGCAATTACTCATAAACCTTCTATTTGTTTACTTGAAGTAAACATATATTATTCTATGAATGAAATTGTATAAATAAAGGTGTTGGAGGGTTTTAAGCATCTACCCAAACCTAGAAACAACACATGAGAATCTTTTGATTTAAATGGTGCTTGATTATATAATAAATAAATATATTGTCATTACATTGTGAACACCTGAAGTGTTTGTATACTAATTTGAGATCTTAGGAGGATCAAAACATGTCCCTTTTAAATTTTTATGGGCCAATATTTGAGAATACTCAATTATTAAATGTTTGATGTGCATTCACTACTAGAAAAATGCCTTACAGTGACACTCTTTTAGTGACACTAACGTTGTTATAAGGCTTTTATGACACTTGTATATCATAGTTTACTCGTGTTACTATCTCAACGTATATCAGTGACACTGTCATATACTCCTTATTTTTTTACACTGAATTTGATTTTAGATTTTTCGCTCAACCCTAAGCTTTTCTTTCTACCCGCCTCCTATCTCTAATCTTCATGAGCCGCTCTCCTCTTTCTCTTCATCCGCTAAGCATTTCTATTTCATCCGCCTCCTCTTTCTCGTATTGAATCAAAAGATCGGCGAACTCGCTGCTGCATTGAACTTTCCGAAGATCTACGAACCCATTGTTCAATCTTCACTGCTATTTTCGGTCTATTCTCTCTTCCACGCTGATTTCTTCTTAGCGACGACAAAGCAACTAAAGTGATCTAAATCTTCGCTAATGTTAACCAATGTCCAGATATTTTCCTACATGTGTTCGGAGTAGCCTAGAGCTATAGAGATGCAATGAATTGTTTTGAATGAATTTCATATCTATAGAATGAAACCCAAGGGCATAGATTTGAAGAAGCTTTGGTCAATGATTTTT